TCGACAGAGTCATGTGGGCGTCATTTGTGTCATTCAATGCCGTCCATACAATGTAGGACAGAGTCAGGTGGGAGCCTGAGCGTGTACACTTAAGGTAGCCAATCATCCTTTCCCTTATTTTGCAGGAGCTCTCAATCATCAGACAGCCCACCATCTCTTCCCTGGCATGAGTCAGTTTTACTATCCCCAGATTACTCCCATCGTCCGTGAGACGTGTAAGGAGTTTGGTGTGAGATACAATTACAAGGAGGGCTTCCTTCAGGCGCTTGGTGCTCATATTTCACATCTGAAAGCACTTGGACAAGCGAAGGAAAAACCAGTTGTTACCAGGCCTGATGAAAAAACGGGGTGAAGAATGAATGTGGGTTGTTGAGGACGAAGTGAGCCTGAGAATGAAGTTTCCAAGTATTATAATTTTTTATTATTAATCTGTATAATCAAAATTTTTTCCTTTCGATTTGACAATGTTTAGCAAGGCAATTTAGTTTTAAAGTAGTTCTCAATAGTGTCGAACGTGATCCGAGATTCTATTGGTTTGCTTTAGTTTGCGCTGCAATTGGTCCAGAAAACTACCGCCTTTCTCTCAACAAACCAGATGCAAAACTCTAACGAGTTTGGTTATTTTTACTTTGAGTTCTCATTGACTCTTTAAAAGTACTTTCCTTTCTTCTGATTGGCCGTTGGGATGATTAATTTTGGTTTTGTGTTTTTTTTTTAACTTTCCTACCAAAATGAAATGATGCAAATAAACCGAATGCAAACATGGAGGACCATACCACCACCAGTCCTATCACACAGTCTAATTACAAGCGTGACGCGTTTACTATTAATGTTAGTGCTCAAATCGTGCTGCACAAGGCCTGAAGCTGCAATTAAAAGATGAATTTTTTTAATTCTTGTACTGACTTGCCCAATTAATGTTCGAAATTCACGCACAATTGTTATAATATGTAGCATCAGCAGTGTGTGTATTACTAAAATCTGGAGCCTATTTGTATTAATCGCTACAAATATTTTATCACAGGATCGTTGAAAAATATTACACTCTATTACTCTCCACTTCCCTTCCATACGCTTGAGAACTCCCTTCCATAGAGACCTATCACGCACAAAAAAATTAAAACAAAAGTAGCTACTAAAGTTTCCAATTCTAAAAATTGGACAAGTGAATAGCTTAAGACCGTTTATCGATCCTTTGGATACCAATGCTTTTAAGCATTACATTTCACAGTGAAATTTCAGCGAACGTGTTTAATTCAAACCCAAAAGGGGGTTTTTGAACGAGGTCTAATGAACATCGTAGTTTTTGACAATCAATTTCTCAGCTCGGGGCCCTCTTGATACACTTCACCAAAAGCTACGTTGACATAAATGTCTGGCTAAAGCAAAGACGGATTATAACGTGTCTTTTGATTGACAAAGGTTAACTTGCGTTTAAATAACCTATGCACGAGGTCTCTATACTCGAAGGAAGACCTCTTTCCAGATATGAAAGGGTGATGAGAACAATTAGTTTCTTGGTGTTGAAAATAATTACTGCGTTTAGGGGCAGTATTCACCAGTAGCGGTTTTGATTCTTCAACGAGAAGCACTCAAGGCACGCTTTTAACACACCTACATCAACTGCCAAGAAGGTGTTTTAACCTTACTTCGCTGATTTTTTATTTTTCCTTTTTAATCGAAGCCTAAGATATCTCTTACAAAAGTCCCTCTGGCATGAAGACCAGTGGACTCGGTTGTTCGTAGGGTTGATAACACTATCCAGTGGATGAATTCCTATGCAGTAGATAACACCACAGTACGTTTCATTAGCACATCCGCTGGGTGGCCATTCTTCCATTAGATGGCGTTATCTGCTCTTTGAAAAACTGGGCCATGGTCTTTATTTTGCTCAAAGTTTCATGGTATTCTGGAGTTAACGTTTCCTTTTATTGTTGTACACGTGCTTCGCCCTTCCTTTTTTCATTGAGAGCAAAACAGTCTTTTATGATACTCTTGTTCTAGGGATTTTTCCCATCAAATCCCGACTACAACGACGTACATCCTTTACGAAACGAAACAATGTCAGAAGACACAAGATCGTCTTAAGTTCATTACAGTAATTAACAAGTCCAGGGTTCGACTCAAGCCAGAACTAAATCGATGCTAGCGTGACACAACATGTTACTAGTCATGCAACCCAAATTCACGTCGTCGACCTAGCTTGCTCTCTTGTGACTCCCGCCGTCTTGGGCATTTTCTTACTGGAGCTGTCTTCTAGCTCCTTGGCTTTGTAATAGTGAGGTGCTACCTCCAACAGCCATTTGTTTTCAATCTCTATGATCTGGTAAGAAAGTATTCATTTTGGTAACAGGCTTCTAGTTTCAAACCCTGCCCTCATGTACGAGACAAAGTACATGTAAGCGGTAAAACTAGCTTGTTTCTCTGGATTGGAAACGCCAGACAAATCAGTGTTTGACTGAGGAAGGGAGACTGATTTTGTTTCATATATTTCGTGAGCTTTGAGATACTACAAGCGACCAAAAGCGTCCGTTCAGTTCAAATTTCGTGCTGGACTTCACCATATTGAGCAAATTAATAATTCCTTTCCTTTTCACACTGCACAGGCTTTTTTGCCGCAAAGAGCTTAGATCCAAGAGAGAGATACATAGGTGATGTAATAATGAATGACTCTCAGAATTAAGAATCAGTAGTAAGACTGACATTACCTGTCTCATGAACTCCTTTGTAGTGAACACAAGCTCGTGGTAGATCACCCATCTGGGCTGGTCCTGGAAAAGACTGCTGTTCGGGTGAATCATGACTGTCTGCAAGAAAGAATACCAAAACGATAACAAGACAACTTGCGAGTCCTACAGGCGATACATCTACCAGTCTAAACATGTATTTCACCTGGTTTGATACGACTCGCATAAAAGTAATCTAATCCAACACGGCCTGTCGCTTACATTCATTGAAAACAACCGCACCCATTCGTAGGAATGCAAAAACATAGGCGCTGAGAGGAACCCACGTATTCAAGTTAAAGCCTTCACTGATTAGATATAAATCAAGTAGCTCCACATTCATCCACAGCACTTGTTTTCACAACAAGGCAAAGCAAAGCCCGGGTCCATTACACTTGCATGTCTTGGTTGTGAGAACTAACCCCGGTTGTTCGAAGGGTGGACACCGCTATCCACTGTACAAATCTCTAACCGATGGATAGCGCAGTACGTTTTTTGGACAATTATCCGCTGGAAAGTGATTTTTCTGTTGGATAGCTTTATTCGTCCCTTGAGCAACTGAGCCCTGATTTCAAGAAACGTGTTTATTTGTAAGCGGTTTACATAACACCGGCTGTTCGCATGCACTTTTCCGTGTGTCTCGCAATTTTCCGTGACTCTGAACTTGACCTGCGTAAGACACTCCTTGCGAAGATAATCGCTCAAAGTCTCAATCTCCCTTTCTTTTAAGCTCAGAGCAGATTGTTTTGAATTCTAATGCGAAAAGCGCCTTTACCTGCTGATGTTTTACTGTCCTGTACTGACCACTCTTGCTTAGCCTGGCAGTGTGATAAAAGTAACCTGATGTGATGGCCTAAAAACAAAAGATAGGACAATTTGACGTCGGTATTGTGGTAAAAAACAAATCGACAGTTTTAAAGCGAACTAACAGTGTTGCAGACTCACTCGGTTGCGCCTTCTGAGTCCACAACACTTTGACCACTGTTATGACGAATTTCGTTGTTGATAAGAGTATTTTTTTTTAACAACTTTATTGGGTTTCAAATTATAAGAGTTAGATAATCTGTTAAGAAAATAAAAGAAAATAAAACACCCAAATGAACGAGCACGAACGAGACTGAGGGACCCATGCGAGGTGCAGCCCAAATAGAAAATACGCTAGTGAATCTAAAAACTTACACAAATAATAGGGTCCTTACGCAAGGACAACGAGGAAGACGACGACGACGACGACGAACCGGAAGTAATTTTCCATAACTTGGGGGTAGTGCGCATGTCACGACACCACTTCGCTGTCCACTGGAAGTTCACAACGTGAAATCGTGCATTTTTACATCGACTAGTGAACGTATGTATTTAATGGGCTATTTTTTTTTTTTAATCTGTTTGAAAGTTTTTGTCCCCAGAAAACCGAAATATTCTAAGGATATGCCATCTAAATTAGTTAGAAACATTTTTTGATGATACTTTTAGCCGTAGCGTTTTGTAATTCGCTTTACTTTTGTTTCTTATTTGTAGGCACTCATTTAAGAATGGCGGCTATACAGTTGAAGAGCTTGCGGCGAAAGAATTTTGTGATTCCATTGCGTGATTCTGTGGCTGTGTACATCATATATATAATCAAGTACCTCATTGCTGATCATACTAAGTGCAGGGACTGGCCTCCCAAATGGAGGAAGCATATCGCTATTTCTGCACGGATAAGCTAACCTTCGCAGTAGGATGCAAAGGCGGCTTCCATTGCACTCGCCACAGATCTTTGGTAGCAAGTAAAGCTTTCAGGAATTTGGAGGACCTCAGCGACTAGTGGAAGGTCACGCTTTCTGAATCTAAATTCTACCACACACTCTGAATCGTTCATGTCTCCGAGTGAAAACCTTCCACAATTCTCGTAAGGAAAATCTGGATGCTTTGGAATGTGTTCTTCGTATAACAGCAACAGTTCTTCATCGTTTAAATATCCGTGAAAGTGACTAAGGAGAAAGAGCTCGTGAAGTTCGTGAAAAGAAACCATAATGGTAAAACTGGAGCTTTGAAACAATTTTTTTCATTTGTTTACGTTCAAGTCCGCGTCGAGAGCAGCTTAAGTTCACATTTTCCCGCCCTTTTTTACCAGTGAACAGCGGTCTCGAACCAGAATTCGCGCTGACATATTCGTCGTCCTTGCTTGAGGTCCCTAACATCAGCTGTGAACTATGACCGGTGGCAAGCGCACGACCTCACAAGAGACCAAGTGCACGGGTATTCCACGTCAAATGTTGTACGCAAGAGGCTCGTCAGAGTTCGTTTTAAAGAGTTATTAAAAACATCGAAACTGGAGAAGCTATTATCAGGCACAGATTCACAGATGAAATTCTATAACTTTACAATCCTATTAAAATATGAAGCTTGAAATGTAGAGGTTTTGCAAATAGGGGTTTTTAAGTTGAAGGAATTACTAAGCCTAGTACGGCCATGAGTTACAAAAGAAACGAATCCATGGACATTTAGATCTATTTGTCCATACAAGCATTAATAAAAAAAACGTTATATCTTTAAGCTCTCTATCATATACTAGTGATAGCAAATCCAGTCTAATAAGTCTTTCCTTATAAGACATTTCTCCAATGCGAGACCGCAGAATCCCTCGGGTGGCTCTTCTCTGCACGCGCTCAATCTTGTCTAGTAGGTAGCTATGACTTGGAGACCACACTTGCGTTCCATAGCAAAGTTGCGGTTTAATAAGGGACAAATATAATCTCCGTCTGACTGCCACGTTTGTCGAAAGTGGGCAAGTACGCTTTAGAAGACCAAGTAACTTATTCGCTTTCGACACAATAGCGTTACTATGTGTGACCCATGAAAGGGTGCAAGCGACAACGATCCCTAGGTCATTCTCTTCAGCCACACGACTGATTTGCACGTTGTTAAGGGTTTAATTGTAATGTGCGGGTTGTTTCTTGCGTGTGACACGACTTTTTTGCATTTGGAGGTATTAAATTTGATGTTATTATATTGCGTCCATTCATCCATATTTGAGAGGGTGGTCTGCATAACTTCGCAATCGTAAACGCCCTTAACAGCACCAAAGATCTTAGAATCGTCAGCATAAAGCGCGGTCTTTACTTCACCATTTGCAGCGTCAGGTAGGTCGTTAATAAAAATAACAAACATGAGCGGACCCAGGAGATTCCCTTGGGGCACTCCAGAGGTGACGGGGGCCCATTTTGGCGAAGCACCTTCAAGAACTACTCGTTGAAAACGGCCAGAAAGATAATTATTAAGCCATGATAGCAAATTGCCAGAGACTCCGTACGCGTTCAGTTTAGCAGGCAGAATGTTGTGGTCCACACTGTCAAAAGCCTTTGCAAAATCTAAGTAGATCACATCTGTCTGTATGTTCTTATCTAGGTTGAGCCCGACATCGTGGAGAACCGAAAGTAACTGAGTCACACATGATCGATTTTTTAAAAAACTGTGCTGAAGGTCAGTTGTCAAGCTCTTTAGATGTTCATAAAGGTGATTGAGAACACAGCGTTAGAGAACTTTGCTAGCAATCGGTTGCAAGGATATCGGACGATAGTGTTCAGCTAGTTCCTTGGAGTCCTTTTTTAGTGGATTGGCACTGTCGATTTGTTAATTTTCTATCTGTCAAGAAGTCTTCTTTAAATGTTAGCAGAAACTAGATGCTAGTCACTCAGAGTGGTTGGAGGGTTAACCGTTATTGTCGACCTCTTACCTTTCTTATAGGAACAGAATCATTTGGGTTCGACGAAATTTCAATCTCTACTCTCTCCATCAGTCCCTCTAGCTGCTCTCTAACGTCACGTGCTCTCTTCATAGAGCGATGCTGTAAGAAATTCTCGTAGCACCATTGAGTGGAGTACCCAGTCTCCACCCACTGATCGTACACGTTCAACAATGTCAGGTGATCACCTCCTGGACGAAAGAAGTTTACGCGCGCGTTGTCCGCATGTACGACTTTATCCTTGGGGCGATAGAAAATGGCGTTGTTCACCGATAACATGGCAGTGATGGTAAGAATCTGTTCGACGCACTTGTACCTGAAAGACAATTGAAAATGAAAATCGATCTTGGGTTCTTTTGACACAGACTACGCGAACATTTGTACGAATGTATTCAAGGTCTTCCAGGTCAAATTATCTTAAACTCCTCATTTGCTACAAAATTTTCTTCCTCTCTTACTGAGTTTTACTGTCAGCCACCTTTGTGACACTCGCATTCAACATATCGAAAAGTTTTCTTTGGCGCAGTCTAGCAGTAGAGATTGAAAATGACACAATTAAGGTTTTCTCACTTTTCCGATGCAATCAACATTTTAGACATCGTTGGTTCAACGGGAAATTCCGCCATGCGACGTCCAAGCTGAAAGAAAGAGAGAAAAAACAAACAAAGAAACAAGGACAGTTAGAGAGTTTGAATCACTTCGTTGAACGAGCTTATCTAACCCCTTTCCTCCTCAGCGTGGTAAGTGCTTAAGTTCTCCATCTGAAAACGAATTTCTCAGGACTAAAACATAACTTTTTCTGATTTTGGAGCATACTCTTCATAACGAAAAAATCTTCACACCGTCACAAACCTTTGTGAGTTCTCCGTGATGGTTCAGTCCTCCCAGAGCGTACAGCTGCTCGAGGGCAATGATAAGGGTCTCAGCCGGAGGGGGATCCATGAAATCAAAATGAATCAAATCGTTGATACCCAGGCTCTTCAGAAGTAGAACTACATTTCCCAAGTTAGTTCTCTGGATCTGTGGAAGGTGAAAAAAAGGGATGAAATACTCTAACGATGGTTGCTGAAAATACCGTTCTTTTGAGTACCGATCAAAGGAGAAATTTTCTTCAGCAACAGCTGATAAATCAAACGATATCTTACCTCGGGGATGGTATTATCCTCCAGTTCGTTCTTGTACGCCCATGCTGTGTACAATCTGAAACACTTGCCTGCTGCCACGCGACCCGCACGACCTGCTCTTTGATTGGCTGATGCCTAGGAAACGTCACAACAGTTAGTGGGTTTAATTCACAACCACAACATTAAAGAAAAACAATCAGCAAAATTCAACGTTTTGAGGCACTTTGGTATGAGAGTTCTAAGACCAAGACTTACTTTTGAAATGGGTGTCACCACTAGTGACTCCATTCCTGTGCGTGGGTTGTAACTCTTCTGTTTACAAAATCCAGGATCAATAACATAGATAATGCCATCAATGGTTAGCGACGTCTCGGCGATATTGGTGGCTAAAACAACCTGTGGGACACAAATATTGCAAAGAGTTCTCTTTTGCTTGTCTTGGGTTGAAACGTTTTGAGATAAAAAATTAAAATTAATCGCAAATCTTTTAATAATCATTGTCTTTGTTTCGTAACTTTTAAAATCCAAGGTTTTAGACTTTGCCGGGCAACCTTCAAATTTAAAAAATGAAAAATGAAAGAGTCCGTAAAATTTTGGGAAAACAAGACGTCATAGATACGTTCTGACACAGCAGGACTTGTTTAAAAAAAAAACAGTCTTTCTAAATTTTAACTAAAATGCATCTGCCTCCCCAGAATTAGACCATTCTTATATAGCATAGGCATTGTTAATAAAACAAAATGGTGGATGAAACAAAAAAAAATTAAAATGGTGGCCAGGAGGATTTATTTACTTTTCTTCCCCCAGGAGGAGTGGGCTCGAATATCTTGGCTTGCAAATCAGATGGAAGATTAGCGTAGATGGGAAGAATGATCAGCTCCTTGATTTTGGAGCCCAGTTTGCGCGTGCGTTCTTGTAACAACTCCTGTGACGTTTCGATTTCCTCCTGGCCGGTCAAAAACACCAGGATGTCCCCTGGGGGTTGGGTCACGTGTATCTGTAACACAGTCACCACCGTGGCTTCAAGATAATCAGCTTCTGGAGCCTGGAAAATGAGAGGTGAGAGGATTAATAAAATTACTGCACTTTCACAGGAAAGGATAATTTTTAGAAAGAACAGGTACTTATATGCCATTGCTTTCAAAGGTTTCTTATCCGGAAAAGGACAGAATTTCTTTGGAAACACCTTCCGATGAATCGGACAAAGTATTTTGTTGATTTTTCACCCGTCCAAAATTGACTGAACCAAAATCGCAGAGGAGAAGATAGCACGTTTGTACATGATAGAGAATGATTGTTTGCGTTCGTCACGGAACGTCCTCGAAGAGCAATCTGGTTTTGTTGCTTAATATAACAGAGGAAGCCCCCAGGGTTATAACAACTTCCCTTTAACAGAGATCTTCTCGTAATAGGAGAAGGGGGGAGGGGAAGGGGAACAGGAGAGGGAAGAAGGGGAAGGGGGAGGTGGGAGTAGGCACAAAGATAACATGAAAATCATTTATTCTGCAAGAGCCGAAGCTTTCATTTGTTTCATGAAGGAGGTGTGTCTGAATATAAGTGCCCCAGTAGAAAGACCCTATGGCTATCGTTCGTTATGGTTTAGAGTCTACTGCGAAAACTATATAAAACAACTATGATCTAGTTTTCTTGGAGCAAAACTACACTATTTCTATTGGAGAACTGTGTTCATATTGATAAAAGCGAGTGATGGATATGGGAATGAACGCCATCCACTGTTATTACAGGCCGTACTATCGTCATTGATGTTCCACTAGAGAACAGTCTATTGTATCTTAATTAAAGTTGTATCGATCGACTCAGAAGTTAAAAAGAGACACAGATAAGCTAAAATACGATATTTTACCAGGAATGACCCTGAAAAAGGATAAAGTTGTTCACCTTTGTGTAATATATATTCACGGGAAATCGTCGACCAGGAATTCTAAAGATGGGTGCATCATCAAAGAACTGGAAGGTAAAACGTACAATGTATTTTTTACTTAACAGCTTGGTTCACTTCTAGGGTACGAGAATTGAGAAAAAGTTCTTTTTCTTTTTGGAGAGATCCCTCTGTATAAGGTTACTACGTTACAAAAAGGCGTCATCATGTTCTGAAATCGCTACGTTGGGTGTAGGCTGTAAAAGTAAATTGTGGCAGACACTTTCGAAAATACAAGGAGTGTTTTTTTTTTACGGTCATCTTTTTCTAGAGACGATATTGACATTCCATGGAAGAAGCTGAAGAAATACGCTATTCTTTCATTACGAACGAAGGACAAAGAAAGAATCTTTGGACCACTCATAAAGAGTCAACACACGGACTTTCCGATTTTTCCCTGCTCGACCCCTGAGCCACTAATTCGTTTATGAGCCAAACCAGAAACTAGATTCATGTGGCAAGCGTCACTGATATCCTGCAAGGGTCAGAAATGTCAAAGGCGTCTTGTTCGTGGATTTCAGAACGCTTGCTACACACGTAACTAGTCTTTTTCCGGGCTCAAGTTATCTGACCATGAAATCCTTCGATTCCTAGTGGGGGAGTTTTCAGGCGCGCGAGGAAGGCGCGGGGTAGTCGCGGGGTACGCGTGAGGAAAGCGCGTTTGTCTCCTCGCATGTGTTTTTCCCCTTGAGCTCTCATTACACTTACCTTTGCTCGCCCGAGAAACGACAAAAATGACACCCATCATGCGGGCTACTGAGTAGTGGATAATAACGCTATTTATCAAGACATGCCTGGGAAAACTTGTCAGCATCCAAAGTCGCACTGGATATCAGAAGTTTAAGATCTTTTCGGAATCGAGCAATGTCCTTGACCAAGCCAAATAGCACATCCGTGTGGAGGGTTCGTTCGTGAGCTTCGTCAATGATCAGAACACTGCCAACAGAAAATTGAAGTCATTAAAGTAGAAGTTGTTCCAGACAGTTTACAAGTACAATTTTCATCTCCGGCTACAAAAACTAAATCTAAAATGAAGTCACTTCCCGCTTTTTGAAACTACATAGTGAAGCCTTAAATACATAATATAGGCGGATCTGTTAACAGTGCTGTATATTTAACAATTATTCCACGAGTGCGCGTTGGATATGAGATGATAGATAGCCAACGAGGCGCGTTTTATTAAAAACGTTAAATTAAATTATTAAATTTTATTAAATTCTTGGCTCCCTTTGAATTTTAAGCTGACACGTACGCTTTCCATATTTGTAGATTATGGTATATTGGCTGATATACCATAATGGTTAAGCCAATAAAAAGTCTTGAATTGTGATAAGGGTCTCAGCCGGAGGGGGATCCATGAAATCAAAATGAATCAAATCGTTGATACCCAGGCTCTTCAGAAGTAGAACTACATTTCCCAAGTTAGTTCTCTGGATCTGTGGAAGGTGAAAAAAAGGGATGAAATACTCTAACGATGGTTGCTGAAAATACCGTTCTTTTGAGTACCGATCAAAGGAGAAATTTTCTTCAGCAACAGCTGATAAATCAAACGATATCTTACCTCGGGGATGGTATTATCCTCCAGTTCGTTCTTGTACGCCCATGCTGTGTACAATCTGAAACACTTGCCTGCTGCCACGCGACCCGCACGACCTGCTCTTTGATTGGCTGATGCCTAGGAAACGTCACAACAGTTAGTGGGTTTAATTCACAACCACAACATTAAAGAAAAACAATCAGCAAAATTCAACGTTTTGAGGCACTTTGGTAAGAGAGTTCTAGGACCAAGACTTACTTTTGAAATGGGTGTCACCACTAGTGACTCCATCCCTGTGCGAGGGTTGTAACTCTTCTGTTTACAAAATCCAGGATCAATAACATAGATAATGCCATCAATGGTTAGCGACGTCTCGGCGATATTGGTGGCTAAAACAACCTGTGGGACACAAATATTGCAAAGAGTTCTCTTTTGCTTGTCTTGGGTTGAAACGTTTTGAGATAAAAAATTAAAATTAATCGCAAATCTTTTAATAATCATTGTCTTTGTTTCGTAACTTTTAAAATCCAAGGTTTTAGACTTTGCCGGGCAACCTTCAAATTTAAAAAATGAAAAATGAAAGAGTCCGTAAAATTTTGGGAAAACAAGACGTCATAGATACGTTCTGACACAGCAGGACTTGTTTAAAAAAAAAACAGTCTTTCTAAATTTTAACTAAAATGCATCTGCCT